ATTTTTTTTTTTTTTTTTTTTTTTTTTTTTTGCTGAGGCTGCCGTGTTGGGGGAGAGACAGAAAGAATGCCAAGGACCTGGATGAAGCAATCACATGATTACAGCGGGTAGGAGCCTGAAAAGTGAGAGCGGGCGGAGACAGGAGGCAGGGATCTGCTGTCTAGGTCCATAAAGCAGCGTCCCATGGAGGTTTTAGAGTGATAGAAATATTAAAAGCACAACGAGGCAGATCCCCTAAAACTCCTTTCCAGCTTTGAAGTAAGAACTGTAAATTGACTTGAGTCGTGTTGCTGACCCGGATTTGGGAACTCATGCTGCATCTTTCCTGGTTATCCCAGGTGCCTGTCTTGGGGGACCCCAAGTGTAGGGGCCGGGCCTGTGGGGTCCAAAGCCTCCTGACTTCGGTGGAGGCAGGTTTGTACCTGGAGCCAGGTGGAAACCAACTGGGTCTGTTTCTGCCACCTACGAGCCACAGGAAGGGAATCATCTGTCTTGGCTTCTGACCTCTGGTTTGCTAAGTAAAGTCATTTCTCTTGGCCCGAATCTGGGCTCCTCTCCTTCTGTCTTCAGCTCTCCTCCTTTCAGCCGCCACAGCATAATCTAAGCCCGGTGTCTTTTCCTGCACCGCTGTCTGCTTTCAGGACTTCCGGCTTTCAGCACAGCGATAGGTAGATCCACAGCGATATCTGAATGTGAGTATGAATTAAAACCCTCTTTAGTCAGAGCTGTCAAGTCCAAGCTGAGGGTGTGCGGTCCTGGGGCCAGCAGGAACCACGGAAGAAGGAAGTGCAGTGGAAGCAGGGGGTTGCTGGGCTCAGTAAGGGCAGGACCTCCGCTGCTCCTTCCCACTTGGAGACCTTTGCCCGGCAGGGCGGCACTGCCAGGAAGGACCGCCGCCACCCCTCTACAGGCCCCTGAGCTAAACAGTCCATTTTAGGGGCTCCAACTAGTACTTTCTGAGAAGTTTATTACTGAACCATAACTACACCCAATTGTGTCAATCTCTGACAGTTATTAAATTGGCTGCAGAGAATCAGATTCCTGAAAAGACCATGAGCGTTTTCAGAGTTTGGTAAATATCCTGAGAAACATCCATTTCTGATTTCTTCCACATGTCGCCTCAGGATCCCGGGTCACTTTCCCAGGGCTCAGCAGAAAGTTCCAGGAATTTTGTGGCTTCCCAGGATGCGAGCTGGAGACTGGCCTTGGAACCAGAGTCCCAGGCTGGCCCCTGCCGTGGCTCTGACCAGCCAGCCTGGCCTCTGCTCCCAGTACAGCACCCTGCTCTGTCCCTCTCTCTGGCCTGGTCCCTGTGCCTCCGTCTCCACTTTCCCCTTTTAAGGACACCATTCACCGTTCAACTTGGTCACCTCTGTAAAAGTCTCATCTCCAAATAAGGCTGAATCCTGAGGCACTGGGGAGAAGGCTTCAGGATGTGAGTTTAGGGGAGACTCAAGGTCCTAACCATTCCTGTTGCTCTCTGAGTAAAGACTAAATTTTGGGGGCCAGGGATTTAGCTCCGTAGTTCCGCTGTCTCCCTCACAGCACAAGGTCCCGAGTTTGATCCCTGGTACCCCACCCCCCCAAAAAAAGAAGAAAAAAATTTTTCTGTGAATGCCTGATAAAGACAAAATCTTCTGTTTGTTTTCCCAGTGACTTTCACACACATTAAATTTAGTTTCTCATTCAAGCTGGAGACAGCCTGATGTCTTCTCCCCAGGGTTCCCTTTAGGACTTTGACAATGACTCTGCCCTGTCCCTGGACTTGTCTCCATGCCCACTCTGCTGAGCACGAGCTCCCCTGGACTCAAAGCCTTTCTCCTGTGGGGCCAGCTTGAGGTGATTCTGTCACATGCACCCAACCCACTTCCGCCACCCACTTCCAGTCTCTCAAGTCCCATCCCTAAAAATGCCTGTTTGGAAACATAGGATGACTCCCGATTCACCAGCCGAACTGGCTCATTTTTACAGGACATCCGGTCTGCCCATCTGTGATTATGGACATCCGGTTCATCCATCTTTGATTATGGACATCTGGTCTACCTGTCTGTGGTTATGGGGACATCCAGTCTGTCATTTGTGATTATGGGATGTCAGGTCTGCTAATGTGTCGTTTGGGGGCATCCGGTCTCCCCATCTGTAGTTACAGACATCCAGTCTGTCCACCAGTGGTTATGGATCCAGTCAGCCCAGCTGTGGTTATGGGGATATTGGGTCTGCTAACATGTGGTTATGAACATCAAGTCTGTCCCTCTGTAGTTACAGCCAACCAGTCTTTTACTTGTGATTATGGGATATCCAGTCTGTCCGTTTGTGGTGATAGACTTCCTGTCTAAGCTCTGTGGAGGTGACACTGCTGAAGGTAGCTGAGGAATAGGTCAGTCCGGCTCAGGAAACCGTCGCTGTGCTCACCCAGCTGTTGCATGTTTCAGAGCAAGCGTGGCTTCCTTCTAGAACATCGGCAGACCTTTTACCTGTGTATGTTATCCTGAGGCTTCCTGACAGTAGTTTCCTGTACATCAGCTAGGGGTGGGATGCATAGGTAATATAATTTTATTGCCTCACACTTACTCTTGGAACAGATTTCTTCAGTTTTCTGTCAATCAGATAAATATTCATACAGGAACAAGGGATCATCCAGGACGTGTCCTGAGTAATTTTTTTTTTTTTTTTTTTTTTTTTCTTTTAACCAGGGGTCAAACCCGGTACCTTCTGCTTGCAAGGCAAGCTGAGGCACCACTGAGCTAAATCCCCAGCCCCTGAATAATTTAATTTTTTAAATACCTCCTCGAAAAAAGAAAAACACCTCCTCATTTTAAAACCAATTGTGGCTTTCTCTCATACAAATAAATTTGTTTCTTTGCAGGGACCTTCGCTTTAACAGAATTAGAGAGATCCAGCCGGGGACATTCAGGAGACTAAGAAACTTGAACACACTGTAAGTTGAGACTTTGGATAGACAACTCTCAGGGGAAAGATAAACGGACGTCATGGTGTCATTTCCCTGCAGGTGATCAGAGTGCTGTGGTCACCTGACACCCTTCCCTCCACTGAGTGGGTGTGGCCAGGGACCCATGGAGCTGGGTGGGGGTGACTATGTGTGTACACTGAGCGCCAGGACTGTGCAGCCCACACATCATGTGTGCCCTCTGTATGCCCGCAGCAGGACAGTGAGGTACCCTAGATGGACAGCTCCCGCCTTGATCCTGGGCTGGTGGTCACTCCAGAGTCTCTTGTTCACTTACTGGGCCAGGTTGCTCTCCTTGCACTGCAAGGGGCAGCAGGACAGAGCTTTTCCTGCACTCGGTATGTTTGCAGGCAGGTCTTCATTCTACCCAGTTCCGATACAGACCTGGACCTGCACCTCCTGAACACACCGAGCACCATGGGAAGCAGGTTTGCCCTCAGCACCAGGACCCTGTTTGGCCTTTGTGCCAGGAGGCAGAAGCAGGAGCCAACCAAGACCCCATGGAGAGCAGGGCAGGAAGTGTGGTGGCTCTGGACACCGGCTCCACATTTATGGGAACCCGTGGTGTGGGCTTCTAGTGGCGCCCCCTTCAGTGTGGTCTCTGGCCAGACCCTCCTGTGCCTCCGGGACAGCTGCAGAGTGGCCCAGTCCTGGTTAAAATGAGAATCGTAGATTTAGTGCGAAGATACACACTGATTTGTACAGGAGAAAGGATTTATTCCCCAGTGTACGAGAAGGTGGAACATATGGGGTGGGTGGAGACGCACTACTGGGGTAAACGAGTGACCATGAGGGTCACACACTGCAGTTTCTTGGGCAGTGTTGGTGCTTAGTGAAGGCTGGTTCAGCTTTGTGGCTTGGTTGTTTTGTGACCTCCACGGTTTCAGGAATACTTTTCCTTGGCACCATTTCGAAGTGTTTTGTTTTCAAGTCCTGTCACATTTCTTTCTTAGGCTTCTCAACAACAATCAAATCAAGCGGATACCCAGCGGAGCATTTGAGGACTTGGAGAATCTGAAGTACCTGTAAGTGGACGACCAGTCTCCCTCTGTACGTGAATGTGCGGTGTGGCCGTGCCGTGTGTGCTGTGTGTGGCTTTCTGTGTGTGCGCCATTCCGGGACCTTTTATTTCCAGAAGGTGAGTGGAATTTCGATGGGAGTTTTAAAGGGGCTGTCACCGGGATAAAGTGCCACGTTCTGTAACCATGTCCGTCACCAAGCCATGGGTAAGACGTGCTGGGTACAGCTACCGTGCACAGTGGCCTAGTGACAGTGATGCTTTTGGAGCTAGACGGTGACAGCGTGATCAGTAATTGCACAGCCAATCTGTGTGCTGCCAAACATACGCCTTCACTTTCCTCCGGCTATAGGGGAGCATGTAAATTGTTCATTTCCTTGGAGTGCCATCACTTTCCTGCTCATTTCTCATCTTCCCCAATTTTCTTTTTATCTAGTTAAACTTGGATTTAAATTAATTTGTTATCATTCCAAACATCTATTTGCTCGTTGGGCCGGGGATTTAGCTCAGTGGTTCCACGGCCTGCTTTGCAAGCCCAAGGACCCAAGCTCAATCTCCAGTACCAAAAATAAAAACAAAACATCTATTTGCTGAAGTTAGTTTTGTAGTTGAGAAAAGGACTTCTGCTGGGCACGGTGGCACTGACCTGTAATCGCAGCACTCAAGAAGCTGAGGCAGGAAGATGGCCCAGAGTTGAGGCCAGCCTGGGCTGCATAATGCATTCAAGGACAGGTGAACTACGTAGTGGTACCCTGTCTCAAAAAATGAAAGGAAAAGACTTCCCTTCAAAAGTACTGGCTTAGTACCCTTCCCATGCATTTATTTTAAGCTGGGAAAGATTTGAGGAAACACTGAGGTTGTATAGGTTACATCTTGGGTCGCACAAGACCCAAGATGTGCCCCTTGGATTTAGCAAATTGCTCTTCTTTTTAGGTCGTAGATAACTTTCCAAAGAGCTAGCTCTAGTGATATAAATTTATTACAAATTTATATCATAACTAAACATGAATATCTTTAAGCTGACTTTTAAAATTCAGCTATTTTTTAGTGCTGGTGTATATCTTTTTTTTTTTTTGGTTTTTTGAGACAGGGTCTCACTATGTAGTTGAGACTGACCTGGAACTCACTATGTAGCCCAGGCTGGTCTCGAATTCACAGTGATCCTCCTGCCTCAGCCTCCTGAGTGCTGGGATTACAGTCATGAGCCACCACACCCGGCTTAACGCTGATGTATATCTTAAAATCCATTCAGATTTTAGATGTTTCAGTGGTTCTTGGTTACACCTTATCCCTCGGGTCCTTGCCACTTGCAAGGCAGGCAGCAGAACCGCTGATCTAAATCCCCGGCCCACAGACCTGCCTTTTGCTTCATGAAAATATATTTTCCTCAATGAAAATGAAATGTATAAATTTTCTTTCTGTCATCTTTTGGCATGGAATGCTAGTCTTTCTTGTATGAATGTTGCTAAGCCTCGTTACTGATTGTGAAAATGGAAGGCCAACTTTCTGTTTATTCTCAGTGTGTGTTGGTGTATTTACCTCTTGTTGTGGTGGTTATTTTAAGTGCTGTGCGAGTTCCAGAAGAAAACTTTGGTTTCCTGGATAGTAGATACATTTAGGTGGTAGCCAGCTTTCAGGGCACGTGTGCGCACATGGGTGCATGTGTGATCGTTTTTATTTGTTGCTCTTAGTTTTAAATCAATTAAGAGCAACTTGTATACTCTGCAAATGCATTCCTTTCCTTTTGGGAAGTTTGGAACACCACTGTTTTGTTGTTTTGTGTTTTGAGACAGGGTCTCACTATGTAGTTTAGGCTAGTCCTGAACTCACTGTGTAGCCAGGCCAGCCTTGAACTCCCAGTGGTCTTCCTGCCTCGGCCTCCTGAGAGATGGGCTCTCAGGCGTGCGCCACCACCCCCGGCTCACGACCTCATTTAAACAATGCCTGCTAACCCCACTGCGGACCCCTTGTTCTCTGACCATCCCTGTCTTGACCCCTTCCCTCCCTCTCAGGGTGTAGATGACACAGATGACTGTGATGGGGATCATCCTGGGAAGCACCCTGGTGCCCACCCCACACCTAGCGATGTGCAGGTCTAGGCTCCCTGGTCCCATCGGCAGAGCACATGTGGGAAATCATCGCAGTAGGATTTCCAGTGTTAAAGAACTCTTCTGTGGATGTGGATGAGTAGTGGAGCACCTAGCATGTATGTGCAAGGTCCTGTGTTCAGTCCTCAGCACAACACACACACACACACACACACACA